ACCATCTCTTGATATCTCTTGCTTTTTGGTTCGCCAGCTGACCTGACAGGTTGAACTGATGGCGTAGGTGACGTCCTTCCCAGTATCTGCCATCAGCTGCTTGTGGACTCTGGGACTCTAGGGTTGTGATGTTGTTTTGCAGACAAGGATGTTTTGTGGTTTTTGCTGTGCTGCCGCCCCACCCCAAAACCAGCGTCGAAGCCTCCAAACCATGACATTCCCTCCCCGACCCTCTGAAATAACAAACAAAATCGTATGAACACCAAATAACATGACTGAATACGCCCCATAACCAGTGTCGGGGCCTCCAAAACCGTTACAGTCTCTCCCAGACCGGCTGAACCATGAACAAGATCAATAAAGCATACAAACAAGTTTTCTGCATCCGAGACTCGCACAGTGGTTTTAGGATGGGGCGGCAGCAAAAGCCCTTCAAGAAACACAAGCAATCCATAAAACAACTACACACGCAAACACACACAGATAGATATTATTTATATATATATATACACACACATACATATACTTATTTGTCTATTCATTCATCGGGCAACAGCAACAACCATAAAGCATGCATAAATGGCATAGTGTTTTTTTACCTGTTTTAAAGATGCTTTACGGTTTCAGAGGGTCTGGGAGGGAATTGTCGGAGGCTTCGAATCTGGTGTTGGTGTGGGGTGGCAGCGAAAAATAACGTTTTAACAGCATCGCAACCGACGAACTGTGTGTATTCATGTGTGTTTCATGACGTGCAGTTCGATTTTTGGTTTTTGCAGAGGGTCCGGGAGGGAATTTCCGGGTTTTGTTGAAGTAAGGGAGGTCGCTCTCTGACTACAGCTTTTCGATTGCCACCTTGTGATTACATGATTTCTGCAGGGGCCATGGTGGACTATGTCGGACAAGCTGGTGATTCCATAGAACACCAGAGGGCTCGCCTCGCTTGGACGCAGTTGTGGATGTTCCCCAAAACCTGTCTGGCAGCTTTGCCCGGTGGCCACTCTAAAAGGAAGCGGAACCGGCATATCCTTGCCAACAGGCTAGACCGTTGGGCACTAGGCGAGCGCCGTGCTCTTTGGGATGAAACTCTCGCAGCTGCCCACCCCCTCCAGCACGCGTTGCCAGATGACGCGCAGGAGGGGGAACGCCACCAGCGGGCCGCTATTGCCCTCGCTCGGAAGGGATTGCCAGGAAAGGCTGTCCAACGCCTTGCTGGCGCCTCCGACCCCAGCCGTTGAAACAGCCATGAGGGCCAAGTTCCCTCCCCCACCGCCTCATCAACACACCACAACGAGACCCTGTCCTGCTCCTGCTTCTGAGCTTGAGGCTGAAGTTGTTCTTCAGGCCATCCGAGCCTTTCCACGGGGATCTGCGGCGGGACCGAGTGGCCTTCGCGCGGATTTCTTGCAGCAGCTTGTCGGGTCTACTGGGGACCACGCGGCTAGCGCAGGCATTACCCTCCTCACGTCCTTTGCGAACATGTTGGCTGATGGTCGAGCCCCGAGGGGATTACGTGCATACCTTGGTGGGGCTAAAGGGACTGCCCTCGCCAAACTCAACAAGACCACAGGTGAGGAGGACGTGCGTGTGCACGGGCGAGGTGTTTCGCCGATTGGTCGGCAAGGCATTGTTAAAGATCGAGTTGCCTGCACTCCGCACACATCTTTTGCCACATCTGTTAGCAGTTGGTGTCCCGGCTGGGGCCGAGGCGATGCCACACCTGTTGCGCCAATGGAAGCGGAAATACGCAGGTGACACTGACCAGCTGTGCTTATCGTATGACCAGAGCAACGCTCACAACGTTGTCGACAGGCACACCTTCCTCACACGGATGGCCGAGGTTGCACCAGGTTTGGGCCGGTGGTTGGAATATATTTACCCCACTGATCTCCCCACAAAGGTTTTCTACAGGGATGTGGTGATCGACTCATGCGCCGGCGGTCAGCAAGGATGTCCCCTCATGACCGCGTGTCATGCAGTGGCTCACCGGCTTCTTCTGGAGTCTCTTGGTCTCGTTCGACCTCCTGCCACGGCAGTGACACTACCCTGTTTGTCACCACCTGCCCAGCTGGACATGGCCCCATGCTTCGCCGGCCTATTGGCAGGTCCATCAGCTGAGGTGCTTCGTGCTTTGCGGCATTTACTCGCTGTCATGCCATCAGTCGGGCTTCGCTTTTCCAGTTTGGTTGTAGCAGCCGCAGCTGGTCCGCATCATCAAGTTAACTTTGGTCCTTTCTTGGAAGCTGGATGCTCTATCAGTGGTGCTGGAGACCTTGAAGTCCTCAAATCACCTATAGGTTCTGAAACCTTTTGTGCTGACTTCAACCGGAAGCTTGTTGACAAGCAACTCGTTGCGGTGCATGCGGTTGGTCAACTTCCTGATGCACAGGTTGGATACCATCTCTTACGTTGCTCCTGTAACGCTTCCCGGGTGTGCTACCTTAGCCACACCACTCCGGCCAGTCATTGTCTCCACGCGCTTGGTCGATTTGACACTGGCGTCCAAGCAGCCTTCGAGGACCTCGTAGGTGGGGGTTTGGAGCCGCTGGCCCTGGGAACAGGCCACGTTGCCTGTGAAGGCCGGTGGCCCAGGCCTACGACCCGCCGTCTATGCTGCTGACTCCGCGTATGTGGGCTCACACAATTGCACCTTCGAGCGGTGTCGAGCATTGTGGGGTGATTATGTTTGGGATGCGGACCAGCCAGGTACCCACCTTCATGGATCTTTGGATAGGTGCGGTGGGGAATTGCGGCGAAGAGGCATATTGACACCTCTCGAGGGTCACCGACCCTCGCCCAAGCTTCAGCAAAAGGCATTGGGCTAACTCCTCGATGAAGCCGCGGTACGCACATGGCAAGTCAGTGCAACTGCTGATGATGTGTGCCGGCGACACGCTTGCTCCGCCACTGGAGCCTCGAAACTCTGGGGGCTTACACCTTCACTCACGCTTGACAATTCCTTGTCCCGGGATGATTTCGTCACTGCGGTGCGACTTCGCTTGGGGGTCGACGTGAGCTCTGGTGCAAGCACCTGTTGTTTCTGTGGCTTGGTAGCGGACCCAGCTGGTCGGCATGCTTTGTCATGCATGTCGGGTGGAGACACTACGGTCACTACGGCATTGCACAATCAGATCCGAGATCTCATTTTTGATTATTGCAAGAGGGGTGGTTTGCATCCAGTGCTAGAGGCATCACATTTGCTCCCAGGCCTTGATGCTGCACGGAGGCGTCCAGCCGACGTGCTCGTGCAGTGCCCTGCCCCCTTGCTGGACCGGCTCCCTGATGGGAGCATGCAAAGCAGTCATAAGCCCCTTGCCCTGGATTTCGCAGTTGTCAACGCGCTAGGTCCGAGCCATTGGGATGACACACGGCGCACCCCGGCTGGGGCAGCAGAAGCCTACTCTGTTCGGAAACGCCACTTTCATTGCACTGAACAACTGTGCATGCAAGTAGAAATTCAATACAGGCCCATCGTCTTGGAGTCCCACGGGGGCTACTCTCGTGCTGCAGCTTCCTTGCTGCATCGGCTTGCCGATGTGGTTGCGTCTGCTGAAGGCACCGACGCCTCTGTTATTCGACAGCGCATGCTTGAACAAATTGCCATTGCGGTTGCTCGGGCTAATGCTCGGGCAATAAAGCGCAGACGTCATTGCACCACGAATGCAGTCTCTTCCCTGTCCACACAAGCCGAGTTGTTCGTCAACCCCGCTGTGTGAGCCGTATGGTCGAGGTTAAGCCCTCGTTGCACACACTATTGTTATGATTGCACGATGGTGGATGTGCTCGACTTCGTCTCTACACCTTTGGCGTGGTCCTTACTTGCTTCTCTTCATTTGGGACTGGGACAGTGAAGCATTTACATACGCCCCTTGATTGGGACTTCTTGTATGGCCATGTTGACGACGAGATTGCTGGTAGGAGTAGCTTGTGTAGTGGTTCAGTCGGATGCTCGCAAAGCAGTGGCTGCACTGATTCTTCCACTTGGTTTGATTCCCGGTGGCTTTAGGTCGCTTGGAAATTTGTGTGGGGTTGTTGCACCCGTCTTCAGCCCCTTGCAGCCCCCGTGTTCCATTGACACGGGCTGCCTTCCGGGGCAATGGTATGATGGGGGAAGCCGGAGTTGGCCACGCCGGTGTACTTGCATGTGACACTGAACGTAAAGAAGCATCTTGCTGTTTGGTTTCAGACTGACGATGTGCAGTGCCGTGAAGATGGCAACCAGGCCAAGCCATAAACTTGGGGTCGAAGCTGAATTTCATGTCAGTGTTCCGCAGCTGATTGCATTGCTCAGGACTGTATTGCAGCCCATCAGAATCTAGGACTCTGAAAAAATCAAATCCAACCGAGTATGCGTATCCTTTCAAAGTGTGCATGTGTCTTTCTTGTGTTTATGGGGGTGTGCCAAGGTCCTAGATCATGGCAGGAAGGGATAAAATTGAAACCCCTTCATCTACTTTCTGCATAGCGGCAAAGGGGGTGAGGGGAGCTCCGCATAGCGACTCTCCGTCCCTACCTCCCGTGAAAACATGCTGTACCTGCGTTCGCTCGCTCATGGATCCCCGCGGGGATGGCTTGGGGAGCTGAGCCTCATGTTCATTTTCCTTTCACCTCTTGCTACACCATCCCCGGTGTCTGATGTAATCAGCGGGGCAGAAACCACACCCCCTACGGTATGATTATGGATCATCTCATCCAGCTTTGTATGCTATATTCCTTGTTTCTGGCATATTCTGGCATAGTTGGCAGCGCATTATCATTTCGTCCCGTTTGAGTTACCCGAATCATCACCAGCATGATATGAGACATTTGCTTTGTGGTTCGCTTCATATTCAAGGGACTGAGTGTGCGCGTGTGTGTCTGTTGTTTGTGTGTGCGTCTGCACGTCTGTGTGTGGGCGCGCGGGAGTGCAGATGCAGAGGTGTGGTCGGATGGCCAAGTGCGTGCTAGGGTTTGCGGTACATTGCTAGGAGTGTTGCGAGCCGACCTGCTCCAATATCACCTGCATGCCGAACTATGTCAAAGTGAAAGCCAATGCGGCCGCTTCACCTCGAATTTGATCTTGGTCAGTGGAAGACCGCGCAGCCAACGGATGTTCGAACTAAAGCAAATTTGAGATGCAGCTGACCGGTGTTCTAACTGCCTTCTGGGGCTCGAGCTTGGACCAAGGACAAACTTTTTGCTGAAGATGATGCGCAGAGCTTCTGCTGCGAAGCAACATGCGCGACGCACACCTGTGACGAATCGCAGCCTGGCGTCAGTGCTTGGACATTCACAAGTCTGGCCACGTTGCCGAACGTCTTGTTGGGCTGCAGCTCAGGCAGGGTCTGGCGGTAGATCCGAAAAGTGGCTCAGCAGCAGATGGTTATGGCAGGGGATAAGGCGGATAATTAGAGGTTGTAGTTGTAATTGTAGCTCGTGCTGGAACGATGTCCTTGTACTGACGGTGCCTCTTGCAGGGGCAAGGCAGCAGTCAATGCAGCACTTGCTTAGGGCAAAGCTTTGCAGCTCCATCTTCCATACAGCAATGGTGGTGAAAGGGGTTAATTTGCTTGTGCTGCATTGGTTGACCCGACTTAGCAACACAGATGGTTGAGAAAGCTTGCACAGCATGGCCGTCTGTGTTGAAACCGGGCCATTGGACACAAACCAAAGGCCAGCTGCTATTACGCATTTTGATGAGTGGTTTTGTTTTCGGTCTTGTTACGTCTTGTCCTACAGAACGTGGTACTTTGAGGGGGATTTCAGGTACAGGAAGGTTGTTGCTTTGTGATCTGTGTGTGCATGCGCTCCACACTTCGTCTGCTTGGGTAGTACGGGGCTCACTCGTCGTGAGACCCTGCCTTGCGTTACCGAGAAAGGGAATGGAAATGCAGCAAGTCCTTCGGCTCACTCAATTGCAGAAACATCGGGATCAATTGCATTTTGCCGAATCCGTTCAACGACCATGGCAATGCAAGCCCAATCTCAGTGTTAGATGGGTATACAGGTAGGTCCGATACGCTTTGATGTTGTGTCAAGCTGTGATAAGCTGTGCATCGGCTGTGGTAATCATGGAGTCCATCGATCCGGCCTCGTCCAAGTTGTGGGAAGCACATCCATCGCCGTATGGTGTACCGTACTACTACAACCCTGTCACGAAAGAGTCGCGCTGGACGATTCCTACTGGCCCGCTAGATCGCGTGGTTCCGGGCCAGAGCCAGGGCAAGGAAGTTGCAAAGAGTGCCACGGATGCGGAGGCGGAGGCATGTGACCGAGAGGCTAAGGCAGATGCGAGGCCCACAGAGAGCGTTTGTTCCGTGTCCAGCTCCTGCAGCTCGGGCTCAGACTCGGAAAACACACGGACCCAGACGACCCAGACCCTGACGGCTCAGGAGCGTGCCCAACTAAAGGTTCAGCAGTTCACCAGGATGCTGGAGGAGCTGAAAGTGCCAGCCTCGGACCGCTTTGAAGCGTGGCTGCCACGGCTAGCCGCTGACACACGCTTCACCGCGGTTCCGAAAGCACAAAGGAAGCCTCTTTTTCAGAAGGTTCTCCAGAGGATGGTGGCTGAAAAGCGAGAGGTCGAAGCAAGCACACGCCGTCGCAATCGGCAAGCCCTTGAGGAGCTGCTGTCTGCCGCGGAGTCGCAGGGAATCTTTGACAAGGTAAAGACTGCAGAAGAGGCGATGGCCAAGATTTCTGCTAACGACCTTGGTCAAAATCCTTGCTGGAAAACAACTCCCTTGACAGAAAAATCGCGCATAACAGAAGCATTGCTTCACAGCATAAACCAGAAGAGAGCTCTTGCAGAAGAGCTGTCTGCCCGCGACTGCGTTGTTGCACGAGACGTTCTTCAAAGATCCGGATGGCGAGTTGCCGACTTTTGAGGAGGCCCGAAAGATGCTGCGACATCAAACGCGCTGGAAGGCGTTGACGTCAAAGACGCTTCGTGAGGGCTTGTACAACGAGATGGCAAACGACCACGCTCTGAAGTTGGCAGCCGCCAGAAAAGCCAAAGCTGACGAAGAAGACGATGCCGGGCTTGCGAGAAGGAGTTATTGACGGTTTAATGAACGGCTGCATGTATGTTGTACTCGTGAGTCTAGTCTCTTTCGATGCAAGCTACACAGTCAATGGTGCTTCATGCCTGAAGATCTTGAAAAAATCAACACCTTGTCGTCGCCCATCGTTCGAATTCTAGCAGTGGGTGCTGCACCTGAGTTCGGGAGCTTCCTGTTTGCTCAGGAACTGGCAGAGCATCGCAAGAGGAGCCGCAGAGATGTTGTAGAGCAAGAAGTGCGAGATTTACTTCAAAGGAAGATCCGCAGTCCTCTGGATTTATCCTGGGATGAGGTCCGTGTGCTCCTTCAGGAGGAGCACGCACAGCTGCCCGAGGATGTGGAGGAGGCCTACCTCCACGAGGTCTTCAACAGAGTCTGCGACGAAGACAAAGAGCGCCGCGCGGGCGCTTTCTCTTCAGAGTTTCTGCGTTGCAGCGTCGAGGAGCTCGGGCCGGAGCTTCCCTTTGAGGCGGTTTGTGAAAGAGTGGCGTGTCAGTTGGGAAGCGAGCTGCTCCGGCCGGTGCCCGAGGCCGAGCTAAGGATCCGTTGGGAGAACTGGCGCCGCCACCGCCTGACAGAAGCTGCGGAGGCCTTCAAAGTCTTCTTGCGCCAAAGTGAGGTGCTCGCAACGGCTGCTCGAGACCCACATGCCGTGCGAGGGGAAGGCACAAAGTTCCAGGAGCTCTGTGACGAGCTTCGAAAGGACAAGCGTTACCTTCGCCTGGAGCTTCTGCCCACACAGCGACGAAGACTCATCATAGATCGATTAGAGGAAGTAGCACTGAATTCGAAGCTAGCTTCCCAAGATGCGGACTCGGATGCCGAACGGTGACGAAAAGTGCGACACAGAAACAGTTGCCCCTCAAGCCTTTAGACTCTCGTGGTTCGACACACAAGTCGCCTTCCGGACTGCCGGATCGCCCGAATCTTACCTTAAGGCAGAAGAAACCACCACGGCTCCAAGAGATGGAGCAACTTTTCTCTAAGCAGGGACCGCAGCCGGGGGCAGGTTATACCTACAGGTTGGTCCAGCATCGAGGGATTCCAAGAAAGCCGCAAAGCAGGCTGGTCCAGGCTCAGCCTTATCTTCGAGAGCCCGGCAGCTAGAAGCGGTGGCACTTGCTCAAGTGCAAAGCCCGAAAGTTACTCCAATTGAAGGCGGTAGAAGACTCTTGCCGCCCAGAACTGCACCTCACCGATGTCAGCGACAAGAAGTGCTGCAGCGCAACATGCAGCGCCTTTTCATCCTGCCCGGACGGCTACGCGGTGCCTGCTTCTAAGGACGCACAGCACTCTATTTCAAGTTGGGGTACTTGCGCCAGCAAGCTGCCAGCGTTTCGGTGCAAAGACTCGCCAGAATTCCAGACCACGGTTTGGTGACATCTAATAGAGCTTCCGCTTCTTCAGTGACAAGGGCATCTGCACCTGTGGGCAGGAGAACACTATTGGAAGCACCAAGGAGGAATGCTGTGAGCCGTTCTCTGGCGGCAAGACAAGTTTTGTCGTTGTTTGATCCAAGGCAAGCTAAAGCCTCGCACAGTTGCTTCAGTGCAATCCATTTCGTGTGAGAGCATCACCCCGCCGGGAAAGGCTGATTCAAGCAATCTTTGCTGTGTCGCCAGGCTTTGCAGCGCGTTCCACTGCAGCGCTGGCTGGAAGCCTGACCCTGTAAAGGCGGCGCACTCCTGTGGTGCACCATGGGTTTGATTTGAACCGTCGGATCGCTATAATTCCATGTCGATGTGCACTCGTGTGAAACCCGCGGGAACAGATGCACAATAGCATATCACGATTCGTGAGTGCCTGCTGCACCTGCTGTGATTCATCTATACCTGGCAAAACACAGCGGTTGCTACAGTAGTTCCCCTTGCTGCAACTCACAGCTCATTCGATCTGCATGTTGCTGCCAGGCTTATGAGGCAGATGCCAGACAACAAAACCGAAACCATGGAGATTGACGAAGCCTTCTGCTGACATCTAGTAACCTATACAGATCTGCCAGGCACAAGAACATCCCTCCAACAAGCCTGTGCAGGAATCGGAAAGGGAGCCCCAGCCGTAACTTACTAGTGCAGGTGACTGCACTCCGGCACTCGGATGAGGCGTATTGGCGCCATGCGGCAAACTGTTTTGCATGACTTGTGGCAAGGAGCTCGAAATTTGTTGGGGAAAGCCTAGCTTGCATAGGCGTCGTTTCCATCGTTCAATTGTTGCTCTCAGACCTTGAACCTCCGGCGAGAGATGCGAGAGTCGAACCTCCGACCGCGATCCAAATGCCGTGTATGAACCATTGGCCAGGCTTGCTGCCAGAAAACCTGCGCCAAGTACGACTGCGGCACGGGGTGGAAGAAGAAAGCAGGCGCAGCTGCGGCGAGTATGCCCTGTGCCCCTTACCTTTACATGCATCGCTGAGTGTGAAACATCAGTGAGTTCTTCGAGCCATACGTCGAACACGACTTCTTGCCAGGCACCGACGACTTCGACCCTTTGATGAACAATGATGAACAGAATCCCGTTTCATGCAGTTTTTGTGGTTGTAAAGTCGGAGATCCCGGCGTGAGTTTCTTGCACCTGCAGTATCTTCGGTCAAGGTGGGAGTGGATGACTCGACATGCTGTGAGAAGACCTGCGAACAGTACCAGGACAAGTGTACCGGCGTCCAGGCTGCAGATCAACCAATACATGCATAAGTGTAAGAGCATAGTACTACTCGTGTCGTGGGGCCCAGCCTCGTTCACATCCGGCCAAATATTGTTCTCGACCAGGGCGTTCATCATAAATGTGCCGGTCAGACATACGGTGGATCGCCACGCTGGTTGTGTTGAGGTGACTATGCGCCAAACCCGGCTCTCAACAACACCGCCGGCCACACTGCGGCTGCCTGCTGCAAGAGAACCCAGGCTTGTTTAGGCACACAAGGGTGGAGAGAGCACGTCACGTTCTTCTGCCACTAAGAAACTTGCGCCCTCTACTCCTGCAATGCTGGCCAGATCAAGCCGAATGCCAAGGCCGCGACTGCCAGGGATTGAAGTGGGGTGCTCAAACCAAAACGACGGTGGCCAGGAGATCATTGACGCAAGCGAGGATGCTTGCTGCGAAGCTGGTCGGTGGCTCAGTGTGGCAGTTTCAGCTTCCGGCTACTGACATGCCCAATTTTATTTGTTGGGGGGACCGTGGCAATTGATTATTGGTGCGATGTTCGTCCCTCAGTTCTGTCGATAGCGGAGATCTGAGCCATGCAGGGAGAAGAAAAGGGTTTGGCTGAGAAGTAGAGACTTTTCAACCTTGGCCGCCGCATCTGCGCCGGAGCAGAGGCAGGCTTTCAGGCTAGCAGCGGCTAGCACGTGAATTGTCAAGCTTCGTAATTTGCATGCCCTCATGCCAGTTGAATGCGCCGTCTTCCGCGAAAAGAAGGTGATCGAGGGAGGCTGCAATGGCTTGGACCAGGCACCTGACTGAACCTAAGAGGTCAAATCGCTCATTGCACACGGAGAGCCCAAGCTTTCTAGTAACTTCTCTGCCCAAGTATTCGCAGATGACTTGTAGGAGAAGTGCGCTGCCAGTGCGGTCCCCAGATGGCCCCGGCTCTGTCCCTTCTCTTTGCATATACTCGTGTCCAAAACTGGCGCCTTCGGTGCTCTCAGTGTTGAGCTGATGTTTGATCATCGTTCGGGTGAGGACACAGCTGTAGCTCGATTGAAAGGTAGCTCCGTAACATGCATTCGTGGAATGTCGTGGATGTCATGCAGGCAAGTTGGAGCTCAAGAATACTGAGACCAAGAAGATAGCACCTCGTCTGCAGCCGAGGCGGTGTTGAAGAATGAATGTCGATTTCTGTCCGGGCAAAGGACGAGGTGGCCTGCACCTGGAATGGATACTACGGGATGTGCTTCGTTGGCAGACGCCTGAGTTGGCCAAGCGCACCTTTTACGAGTTCACAGTACCGTCATTACCGTCGATGTGGAAAAGTGGGTCCTTTACTCTCGAGTCCATGGCTCCGGGTTTGGCGGGGGTTTCCTACTTATTGTGTCCCTGCTCGGCGATCCTTACAAGTTCGAGGAAGCGAGAAAAAAGGCTTCGTGAGTTTAGTTTGCAAGGTGGCCGTAGTTTGGTTTCTTTCAAAGTCGTAGTTGATTGTAGTAGCCCCTGCTGCACAGGAAGTATGGTGCCTCTGCCTGGAGCACAAAGAGCAAGAGCACGGCATCAAGACAACATGTGTTACTTCACTTCGACGCCCTTCAGAACAGCAACAAAAGCAGATCTGGAACGTTCTGGAAGTCCCGTTTAATGCTCTGAACGAATACAGCAGTCGTATGCAGTGGTGGTCACTTGCGTTACATGGGTTGCGCCTTGTCACCTTTGTCAATAAGCAACGCATCCATTCATGTTCGTGGTGAGGGCGAGTTTGCAGTCGCAGATAGCTGGAGAGAGGTTCTAAGACATACAATCATAACAAGAAGCAAGAAGGGCACCAACGCGAAGCATTCTCTTGGAGGAAAGCTGATGCAATTTGTTATGTCAGGTGTGCCAGACATGATTTCCCACAACACCGCTCTTTGTAGATGTGGGGGCGGCAGAAAAGTAGCTCCCAACGCTGGAGCACCGCTGCTGAGTTTGCAGCCACATGAACGCCACCACCAACACAACACCGTCCCTTGCGGCCTCACCTCCTCGCGAGTTCATCGACATGTATGGCTGTGTCGGTTCTCCGATGAATTTGATTCATATAACAAGAACGATCCTGATTCCGACGATGTGCTGTCAATTGCTTTCAGAAATTCGCGGTCATTACAAGAATTGAGTGGGTTTGCTTGTTCTCACACAGCTGGCGTGTAGTGTGTTTGGAAGACAGCAACTTAAACCTTTACATCTTTTAGGCAATGCCGGTTCTTTTGCGAAATGGTGCATCGGCGGCATGCTTGCATGCTGCCTTCTGCCAAGTCAACGCCACAACACTGGAGAGCAGAAGGCTGCGAATCATAGCGCAGTTTTGTCAGAACTTTGATGCCATAGAGATATGGATGTAGGTGACTTGAGTATCTGCAATATCCACGAGCCGCACTTTCGCATTCAAGCTAACCTTGCGTGGCCCCAACCCTGGAAGTCTGTTCGTCGTGGCTGACATTGGTCATGCAAGAAGCTTTTTCATAGACATCGCAGAATTCCGCTCTGCATGATTCCAGAAACGAGATGCAATGGAACACAGGATCTTGAATCGCGGCATGTTATTCGTGCCAACAACGAGGACAGGCTTCAGAACGTGCGACTCGTTCCACTGCTATCTTTTCGGTCTCTCCGGTTCCAGTCCTCACGCGAATTTTCTGAAGTTTAGTCTGTGTTTGCTGCAGCATCTACTTAGAACTCACTTCAGACATCTCATAAGACCTGCGAGCATGTGCGGCCTTGATTCCAGAGGTGTCGATAGGACCCATGACTCAGGCAAGCCAAAGCCGTTGAGCTGCAGCGACTGACCATGGCTGACCGGCTGTAAATCCTAGTCTCAAAAGAGTCCTGAAAGGGCTCTGTGGCTCGTTGAATAGCGAGGCTGTCATGAGGCAAGAAGCCTCCAGGCTTTACCTGTGCTGCAGGGGAAAAGTTGTCAGGTGCCCGCTGCTTTGGGTACTTGATGTTATAGGCATGTCCAGGTTCTAATAGAGGCCTGCGTTGGAGCCATACCAATCCTCAGAGGCAGGACCTCTCAAAACACGAAGCGCACAAACAAGCTTCTCTCGCCATGATGCAGGCGAGCTCGAATGCCAACTTTTCAAGGACGAATTGTATTCCAACGCATAGATGTGTGGTTGATCTCCGAGCGCGAACAGTTACTGCAAATGCCATTTATGTTGCGAGCTTCGATTTCACTGCTCAATTGGACTTTCTGCAACCGTCTCAATGTCAGGAGCACGCAGAACACCTGCAAGACCTCGTCAGCCAGGGAAAGTTGGATGGAGTGCTCCAGCTGCATGGAAGGTCAATTGGGGGCTGCATTGCTTGGTCTTTGGCCGCATGTATAGACACACAAACCGAGAGAGCGAAAGTGCCCCCGAAGCCCTAGGCACTTGCCGAAACCTTCTTGGCTGATACTGGGGCAAAGCGCGAACCTTGGAAGGTATTGAACATGGCAGACCTATTGCACGACAACCGTATGGGAACGGGAGAAAATAGTATAAACCTGTGGTCCGAGTCCAGATTGCAATCTGCAGTGGGCTGGTCGATGTTTCCAGAACGCAGACGAGATGTCAGCCGCTGAAGTTGCGACATGCATGCGGCATTGCTGGTGTTAAGGCTCAAAGAAAGCGCCCACAGGTCAGCAAAGCAAGTCCTATTTCATGTCTTCCCAACTTTCTTTCTTGAGCACTTGAGCCCAGATCGAATCACATGAGTCCATGCCAATTGCTCGTTGCCGTCGGACAGCCTTCGTGACTCCTTCGTGTGCTGATTGCATCGCTAGTCGCAGTCAAGCTGTGCTCTCGTTGGTCGCAGGAAGCGTCGAGTGCTTAGCTTAGCTCTTGGCTATTGTAAGATTGAAGCAGATGGAAGCCAGATCGCCATGATACACTGGCTTTGGGCCATCTTGGCCACAGCCATCGTCAAGACATCAGCCCAAGACTGTTTCGAGGAGCAGATTCTCGGAGCAGAGCGTCATAGAGCGTCGAAGACAAATTTGGGAAAGATGCGCTTTGCATTCTTTAGTCCCTTCGTTGCAGAGGAGTCCATCTTGGAAGCCGGAGATGCTGACGCACTCCGCTTGCTGCAGGGCCGCGTTGCTCGCAGGTGCTGGGGAAGTTTGCTTGACTCTTTTCTGAAGCTGACATTGTAGCACTCTCAGGATATCAGACTAGTTTACGGAGCGGGAGCAGCCGCGGCCAGGAGCTTTGCCGTGGAGTTCGCAGACTCCGCTTTGGCAGCTGCAAGCGCAGATTTCGACTCCGCCGAGTGGAAGCAGATCGGCAGCAGGACTATAGTCTGGAAACGTTGGAAGGCAATCACGTTTGACAGATCTTTATAAGGGCTGGTGCTGTTAGTCATGGTTGTTCATGCTGTAACGGAAGCAGGCCGGACTTTGCCTGCGGCACACGTCATCCTTTGGACCTGATGTTGCCTGTTAGCCGCACTATCTAGTCGCAGCAAGAACTGACACTTGACGAAAATGGACGAGCAAGAGCGAGCAGCGAATATGTGTGGTGCGAAAACTCAGTGCATGTAGGCTGTCGTGCAGGAGTAGCAGCGCGTGTGGCTATGCTTTCGCGCTGCTGATCCTCGCCTCGTTTGCGGGAAACTCGTCTCGATTCTCGATCATGGGATATTGGGGCTGCTCGACCCTGCTGAGTGCTGCCGGTGCTTCGGACATGTCCTCATTCTTAGGCATCTGCGTGGAATGGCTGGCACGGGGCCAACTTCATCGGACCTTGATTTCCCTGCTCCTCATTGCGGAGTGCCTAACTTCGGCAACGTCTCCTGGTCAAACACAATGCATTCTACGCTGGCCATGCATTTTCGCGTGACACAAGAGCTGCATTCTAGACTGGCGTGGCATACAGCTGCAGAGCCTGACAGGTGCATATGGACTCAACTCGTTGCTGAAACTGCTCCCGTGGAGGTACACAGTGGTCGTGCCTCTGTCCTACGACCTGGCCACTCATCTGGGGCAGGGAAGCGCCTTTTCCGGGCTCATGGTGTCGGCCCCCTTTGCTGTTTACCTGGCAGGCGCCTAGGGCCTAGGGGCACAAGTGCCTAGGTGCATGTGTTTCTCCGAGTAGCATGGCTTCTTTGGAATGATGTGAGCAGGTGCACTCCGTGCCAGATGGGTGATGATGTCATGGAACCAGGCAAAAGTCTGTACCTACATCGTTGCTACTTGGCAGAGATGAACGCTTGATTTGGGCATCTTATTCTTGTGTGAGGAGGCTGGAGGCCTTCCCGCATGTCCCTTGGTGCAAGGACTCCGAAGCAAGAGGAGTATTAGCAACTAGAAACAACAAGCAGCTTGCAGCCTTTTGTGGTGCAGCGGCGCAGCACATGCAAAGAAAGGCAATTTTCACGATGGCTTGATCCGAAGGCCCAGGATAGTTGCCTATCGGTCTGATCGTCTAGATCCGTCTGGTGTCCGGGCCCGCTTCACAGGCCTCAGCTTCTGGAATTCGGGTTTACATCGTATGCAGCTGCAGACTTTGCTAGCTACACCGTTTCACGGAAACCATGGCCGTCGTGTGCAAGGTAGCCTACGCGGTCTATGTGCTTTCCACCGCGCTCTGTGCCGCTGTTGTCCACCCGCCTGGCTTTCTATTCCTATCCGGCAATGTGACCTGGCAGAGAGAACTTAAAAATTTGAATATTTTTGTTTTATAAATGGTGATGCAGAATTTCTCGTCCCGCAATGGGTGCCTTGACTGGGCAGTCCATAGTCCAATTTCGTCGGATGCCCTCAAGGCTCTGGTTTCTCTATAGCCAGCATCGAAAGCGAACGCGCCAGGCAACTCTTCGCGCCAGCCTGCTACTCTTCCTGCGCATGAGCTACGGCCTCGTCGACAGCGTCGGCGATGTCATGCAAATGAACCTTACCTTCGCATTGAACCAATATAGGTACATGTTGGTTGGTTGGTTCCAACCATAGAGAAGGAGTGGTTTACATACTATAAGGGCCAGCAAAAGCCAAGTCGAAATCACAGAGCCAGTAAAGGTTTATGAGGAGTCCTGAGGTTTACCGAGCGCGCCCATGACGATTGCAATTGAGCCCTCAGGATGGTGGTGAAGGTGAGCCCGCAGGAAGAGCTTCGAGCGTCTTTGGATCCACTTAGATCCGGCTTGTGGCGGAAGTCCGACGAATCATGTGGGAAGTGGGAAAACTCAGGAACTGATGGTCAGCATGTTTGCCTCCAATGCTCTGGGTTTTGGCCTCGGCCCTCTGCTGAGCGGCGCGATTGGAGCACCTTCGACGCAGCCCTGGTAAAGCACAAGCAGCTTCCGAAGACCAAATGAAGCCTCTCAGGACGTGGTGCAGGTGTCAGATGTGGAACTCCGCGCTTGCATTCCGCTGATTGCAGGGGCCTCTGTGACTGCCGTGATGGGATTGTCCGTCATCGCAGGCGCTTCTGCGAGGCATCAGAAATGCAGGTGATGCCAGCTTGACGACCTGCATGTCCAATCCTTGCCATCCAGGTATTGGCACTTCTTTGGACGGCACTTCTGCTTGTGGCTGGGCACATCTTGGCACTACAAACCTGAAACAGCAGAGAAAAAGAAGGGTCCAGATCAAAGGGTAGAGGCAGTGCTCAGGGATTCCCGGGAGAGAATGCGATCTAGCTTGTGCCTTTTGTTTGTCTCGTCGCTGGACGAGATCAGGTTTATGCACTTCACCAAACCTCAATGTCTGCTGTGATACTTCTTTCCGATTGTCCAACGTACTGTAGCAAGTTGGTTCCAGACACTCCGAAATAGCAAGTTTGGAACTGGCGCAGCTATCCACAAGTGTGCACTTCCGCTTCGCCAGATTCCGCTGAGGCCATTCGCAGCGCCCTTCCTCTGGAGCTCTCAGAGGCGGAGACTGGCCTCGGCAGACAGGACAGCGACTCCAACAGATTGGGACGTGCCGCAGAGGGCTCTAGACACTGTCGCGGAGAAGGGGTTATAGAGTTGTGTATCATACTGGTAGCTGTATTCTATATAAGTTACATATGACGCATGGCGTCTTCAGGCGATCGCCAGGACGGGACAGCTATCTTAGCACTTACTCGTGGCTTGGGCTGGGAGATTTGGGTGGTGTCGAACACACTACACTAGGTCCTCACGTGCAGTTCTGCATAATTGCTTCTCTCGTGCTATGTGCATGAATGTGTACCTCGGCCGTAGCGTAACCGTAGGGCTCAACACTCAACATCGACTGCTGTAGAAGCAAGTATGACATTCGGGGTGTCCAGAGCGTCTCCATCCACGATGAGTAGCTCGTGCTGGTCTTCACTTACCTGTCCAAATGTCAAAAGCATGAAAGCTTGACAGCGGAGTCGGCTTGTGGCAGTATCGTGGCTTCATCGATGTGAACTGGTGGCTTCGCATGCCGTTGCATTCGCTGGGTCAAGCTTGCTTACGTTTGTACACCATCTTGAAGTTGTTCACCCTGAGCGGCCTGGGCATATCTTCACTGCCCGACGTGAGCTGTGTTCGCGACCTGGTCATGTGCTTGTGTATGTAATGAAAGCATTGTTAAACAAGATTCGGTGATGCCATCAAGTTCAAGTCTACAGTGGGGAAAGTTCAACTTTCACTACATTTGGACCTTTTGAGTCCCTGGCCAAGCCATGGCCTTCCGCAGAGCCATTGGTGCCCGAGTCCTCGGAGGTTTGCCAAGAGGCATTGGCTCCTTGAAGCTGCAGATTCTCTGTCTTTCAACTCCATTGCGCTTGAAGCCCATTATCATGGTAAGCGAAGTGGATGGAGGCACGATGCGCCATGCCGCAGGGCCGGATGCCCCGCAGCGCGCTGCTGCAGGATCGTCGAGGGGGCAACTCTTCTTTTCCTCTTGTGCAGGTGGTACTGTAGGCAAGTTGAGTGTCAGCGATCTAACGTCCCCGTGATGTTCGAAGAGCCACCCAAATTATGAAGGTTGTATACAGGGGCTCAGCATCATTCAGGCAGTGTCCAGGCAGCCGGCCTATTTGCTTAAGCCCAACCCATATCTTAAGATCCAGACCTTCAGGAGCGGGTGTACCTCCCTGGCGAGGAGGCTTCCACATGCAGTAATTAATGGTTATTGTCACTTCGCATTCCTTGGAGCGGGCAACCGGCATGCCCTTAGAGTGGTACCCTTGGGTTAGGGTTTGAAGATGTCGGGAAACCAGCAGAGCTGCACCATTTGTTGTATCACAAACACCTACGAAGGTTGGCACGATATGGTCCAGTACCACTTCTTTTTTGAAGACATGTTCGTCCAGGCCACGGGGTGGGCTTTGTGTTGTCCGTTCCGTTTTCGAAGTTCTCCACCGTTCTTTGCCGTCAGATTCCAAGTCGAAGGTGATCGTTGCCTGTGTCGCGCATTCTTGGGCAAAGGCACGAGCCTTCCTGACGCCCAGTGTCGAAGAGCATTCCCTCTGGATCTTCGATCATAGCCAGCAGAAGGTGCAGGAGCCACCTCGCTGCAAATACTTATCCTCCGTTGCACTTGTTCGTTGGTTTCTCCATGAAGCTCTGATGCAGGTCACTAGACAATGGCTTCATTCTACTACTGCTGCCAAGGCTAAGAGGTGAAGAACTGCAAACAGTTGTGGGTCGGGTCTCTGAGAGGTTCCCAGATCTCCACATATCAGAGGACATCAGGGGAATCACACGAAATGCTGCTACTTTGTCGGCTCCTGAGGCTGGAAAACTGCAGCCAGCCACTGCAGCAAGCCGAGGCGAGAGCAGCCATCGTAAGTGATGTGATGAGGGTTTTCTTCTTGCTGCGTCGAGTCGTCGAGGTCGACTATCTTCATGTCTCCGGACCCCGGATGCAGATTGAAGACGGTGATGGTGGAGGGCGCGTGTCACTGGACGGCGAGGAGCTTCAGGGCCTGCTGGTCCTGCGAACGTCCACTATTCCTGAGTTCTTTGTGGGTTGGTTTGGGCGGCGGCTGTTGGCTTTGGCTTTGACAACTTGTTCAGAGCTTCTAAGCCAGTATTTACATACTTGCGTCTTAAACCTAACACCACGGTCTTTCCGGCGGACCTTTCTGCACTGCAATCAGGCAGATCGTGGCCGGCTCGGTTTGGGATGAGATTGTGGCATTCACAATACACATCTGAGTCTGCAGGAGCTCGTCGTGGACTTCAAATCTCGCAATGCTGCCTGCCTCAGTGCGAGAGACATTGAAGCATAAATTGGGTATGCTCCAGACGGAAGTGGATGGCGGGATTGTGCGCTGCACATGGTTTCGTCACGTCTGCTTGAGCTCGAGTCTTGCCGTGTCTATCTGATTGAGCCCGCGCGCGCGGGCGGTGGTTGAAATCAGACACTCAGACACTCAGACAAACCAGA